CTCTCACTGTCTATCACTCTGAATATATATATATATATATATATATGAAGAAATATATATATATATATATATATATATATATATATATATATATATATATATGAAGAAATATATATATATATATATATATGAAGAAAGCCTTTTTAAGTTCTGCCAGACCCAAGGTATACTTTTGGTATATTGATGACACTTTCTGTGTGTTCAGCCATGAATCGGAAGTGGATCAATTTTTTTTCCCTACTCAATGGTGTTCATCCTGCCCCTTAAATTTACAGTAGATAAGGAGGTCAATGGTTCATTGCCTTTTTAGATGTTCTTGTTCAAAGAACTCCTCCTTGTTTATTACCTCTGTGTACAGGAAGTCTACTTTTACAGGACTATATACCTGTTGGGACTCCTTTTGTCCTAAACAACAAAAGATTAATTTGATTAGGACCCTGACACATAGGGCATTAATGATCTGTTCGGATGACACCTTGAAACATGAAATCAGTTGTTTAACTGAGATCTTTGAACAATGGCTATCCGTTGAACATTGTTCAATCGGTTATTCGAGATGAGACCGCCAGGTTCAACAAAATCAAACCTGCTTCAGTAGGTAAATGTCCGGTCTATCTTCGTTTACCGTGGTTGGGTAAGATTAGTGAATCCTTCGCTAAGCGTATTTCATGTAGTTCACGTGAGTGTTATTTTGCAGCGAACGTTCGTGTTGTCTTTCAAACTAAGTCCATACTTTCATCTATGTGTAAAGATGTTCTACCCCCACCATATTAACTCTGTTATTTACTATTTCAAATGTAGTTGTGGATGCGACTACATAGGTAGAACGACACAGCGGTTGGACGAGAGAATTAAACAACACGTACCTGCGATAATACTAAACAAAACATTTTCTTTGGGCGATACCATTCGTAACACGTATGGGTCTTCCATTGCGGATCATTTTATAAAGAATCCAACTTGTGCGATGGATTTCAGTGTGGACTGGTTTTCCGTCTTGGCCAGTTCGCACTCACTTTTCCATCTTAAGGTGCTGGAGTCGCTTTACATCAGGTCTAGGCAGCCTGCTCTTTGCAAACAGAGAGATTGTTTGCTTGGACTTGCTCTGATGCGATTCTAGCAGCTTGGTTGGTATAATTTTATATATATATATATTTTTTTTTTCCTTCCCTGTCCATTCATTCATGTCACCCATGACAGACTTTTTCTTTTCCTCATAATCTAAATTCCCCGTTAACAGTTCTGACGAGAGGGGACGAAACTTGTCGACTGTTGTGTTTTATTTTAAACTTATCATGGCCTACAATACTACATTTCTAGTTTTTAATGCCTTAATACGCTTTTGTACCGTTTCAAACCTATTTAAATATATATATATATATATATATATCGACATCATAACGATCACAGATACAATAAATTTATCTTTTTATCTTTGTAACTTACCCCTTAGGATGATCTTGGGATATGTAGAAAGTACATGGGTAGGAAAAAAATTACGGCGTCTTACTTCATGAATTTCTTCTTAACATCAAGGAACTTATGGAATTAGCAAGGATTATTGTAAAAATAAATACACATAAGATATCTATATCATTCAATGAAGTACATTTCATTTAATACTTGGTGTTGCCAGGAGATTTGTTGGTCTCTCGCTGAACAGCGCCCAACACATAATAATCAAAGGGGTTGCAGTCTGGCTAGTTAGGTGCCCAAATATAAGGGGTGATGTAGTAGCTGAAATTGTCAGACTGCCATTACAGCGTTCTCCTGCCTGTGTGGCATAGTGCAAATTCCTGTTGCCTGACATAGCGTCTTCCAGCAGCCAACCTCTTGAATCAGGGCAGCATTACTTCCTCAAAGCACGGTGTAAGTCTGCTTGAGGGTCTGAGGCCCTGTGGGAAGTTGAATAGAGGCAGAAGATTCCCATTACTAGTGATAACTCTAAACACCATGACGCTGAGAGGATATTTGGTCTTCATCACTCTCGCTACATCTTTTGGGGACACAGCAAGTCTCCGCTTGTTTTAAGTGTTCACCATATTATCCTGGCGGAGGTTTTTCTCGCCTGAGAAAAAAAACAAAGTTCGGTTCGAGTGGATGCTTGAGTTTGTTCAAAATCTTCATTACGCTGTCTTTCCTCTTGTCTTCCATGGCTTGCAATAAAAATTGGCCCTTTCTCATTTCATTTAATCTTTGGAAGTGCTATCTGATGATCCGGCGTCCTTTAAAAGGGCTCTGGTGAAATAAATTATCATAATGGGACCTTAAATTGGTCTGTTTTTCTTTTAATATATATATATATATATATATATATATATATATATATATATATATATATATATATATGTGTGTGTGTGTCTTTAAAACCCGGTAATTTTTAAAAGTTACTCCAAAATTCGCTTGAAGATGAAATGGAACTAATGCTTTTAATTTAATTGCAAAATTAAATTCGAGGTTTTTAGCTTCTATTTTTGAAACATGGTTGGAACTGTGCAGCGAAAAAAAACATATTTTAATCAATTAATTTATAATATATATATATATATATATATATATATAGGTGCTAGCTTAAATAACAAAGAGGAAACTTTTATAAATTCAACATCTTCCTTTTAATTTAGGCTTCATCAAAAAATTAACTGATATTTAATTTAAACTCACACGGAAGCCTAACAAAATCCACCCACAAAATACTTGTAGGAAATTCATCTTTATATTTGAGTGTAGATATTGCCATTACAGTTACCGAAGGGAATTTTAGTTGTGCAAGTAGGCAATAATGTTTTGAGGACGGTGTTTTGATGGAGTAAAGGCTTTTACCGATGATTTCATCGAGAGTGACGTTTGTAAATGAATTTTCAACATCAAGTGACAAAAGAATTCCTTGGTTCTGTAGTTGTTAGGGTTTGGAGAAATTCATAAGTTGATGTGATGCTATAATTGGTAAGTAAATATAAAATGATGATATCGTTATGGAAATTCGACAGCTTGTAAATAGGTTTTTGGATATATGAAATGATGAGCGTTAGTGGATATCCGGATTTATGCATTTTAATGTTTCCGTATAGGTATCCTGGTTGGCTGATAATCCCCAATGATTTGGTTAATTTAAAGGGACCTACGTCGGCATTGTTTGATATTGTAAGTTTGTTGACAGATTTCTTTAGAGACTCGTGTTGATTAATTTAGTATATTTAGAATGGTCGTCAATGATATGTAGTAATTTTTATTATAATTCATTTGGTCCCAAATTACATCTGTTTTAGCTTTGGCAGCTTGTATGATGAAAATATCAGGATTGATTTTTTTTTAATTTTATGCATCAGTTCTGAGGTCTGTTATTAGAATATTGTTATTGCACACTTCCTTTACACTTGTTTTTATTTTATCTCCAGACAAGAAAACACTTATACGAACAGAAGAAAAATTAGATAAAAAGCTTAATCACATTACCATGTTGTCTATAAGGAAACAGATATAACAGAGTGATTATTGCTTCCCGAATACACAATATATATATATATATATATATATATATATTCGATCTGCTTTTCTGAAGCACATTCAAGAAGCGAGAGCAAGATCTAAAAGGTCAGCTAATCTAACAGAGATCTCATCTCACAATCCTCACTCTTGCTCCATATGTGGCCTCTTTGTAAATCACTAGTGGGTCTTGAGTGCCACTTAAGTTTATCGCACAAAATTTCATAACTGAGTCAATTAAGATGTCAGATTCTCATAAGTCGAAACCGACGGGGGAGTCCATATATATATATATATATATATATATATATATATATATATATATATATATGACATTCTTTACTATAGATATTTTTGTTCTCCGTAGTATACACAATCATAAAATAAAGTACTAAAAATGAGCGACTCATTTTTCCGACTTGAATAAAGGCGATCATGTAAAATAGAAGTGAGTGTACGAGATAATGGAGTAGTCGCCCGAGAATATCTATTCAGCCATGTCCTAGAGCTGGTGAAAACGAAATGTTTTTGTTCGTTGTAACGTTAGTGTATTCAGTGTAATCGGCATGATTCTTTATCAATGGTGCGTAAATCTGACGAGCGAGTGTGGCCATTGATTACGTGATAGCCGAGTATAACCAATTTCGGGTCACATCCAAATATAAGGGTATCAGTAAAGCAGACGATGAGATCCGTATATGTCAGAGGTGTCAATACACCTCCCAGTCTGACAAAGAGTACTTGTAAAATCGAAACTGCTCACAGAGACATTAATATCTTGCAGAATATTCTCATGCGGTCTCCTTCATACACGATGTCGGCAAAACATCCCCGATCAAAAAGCGATATATGTCAATTGAAGGAATGCTGCCGTAAGACATGCTGTAGTATCAATAACGGGAATCTTTCATCCCAGAAACAAAACCGAAACCCTCGGGAATGCAGGGCTTGCTGTAAACTGCATTGGATGCTGTCTTCAAAAGAATAAGATGCGCAAGTAGTAGTAGTTTTTGTCCTACATCGCAACATACTAAAAAACTGAAATTTTTACCTAAGAAACATTCATATGGATGTCACGTGGGCACTTGGATGTGGTCTAATCGTTAGCAAGCTGAACAAAATATATCCACAAGATAGTTGGAGACAATACAAGTATAAGAACCTCATGAAAAAACACCTTCTCAGATAAACGATTAAAAATGGCTTCGAGGCAATGAAGGCTGTAACTGTTAGCGGGCACCATTCTCCTTCGATTGATTCGTTTTTTTCGGCTTATCAACCCGTTGCAGGTTATTTGAAGCCAATGTTTTTAGATTGTAATGTTTTTAGATGATAATGATTTATTGATACAAATCTTACTACTTAACCCATAGCTGAAGGGAGAAATTGTAATTCATATGTTTCGCATGATGATTTGCGAGTAAGTGAATATTACGAACGCAACGGGAATTGGAACTCGGTTCACCGATTAGCAATTGCGAGGCATTACTCATTGTACCACAAGTACATTCATGATTACAGCAACTGATTTCCCATGAGGTCATCCATCTAGATACTGACCAGCCTCGATGTTGCTTAACTTAGTTGATCATACGTGAACCGGTGTTTCAACGTGAAATGACCGTAAGCCATACTTTTCGAATCTAATGAACTGGCGCTAAAGATTCACAAAAAAAGAACGGTATCAAATAACATAAACAACATCTATTGAGGAATTTCAACAGCCGCAACAACTAAAAGGTATAGCATATGCAACATGAACATAAAATAATGATATAATCAATATGTTGACGTTCCACACTACATTGAATAAAAGTTTAGAAAAGAAGTCCCCATCAATACTGGAAATAGCATAAATGTTGAATTGAGAATGTATTTTCCTGAACAAATTGTTTCAATAGAAATGATTTATAAATTATAACCGATAATAGTACTGACTTTTCGGTAAATGAATGTCAAGTGTTTCAATATGAGAAAATGGTTAATATTACCATCGCCGATGAAATGGTTTGTAATGTGATGCAATGTTACCAGCTCTTGATTTGCGGGCATCTTTAACATTTGCCGATGACCGCGATGCTCCAACAAATTTGGAAGCCTCCGCTATTCACCTGATGCTGAGATCTGTTAGGGATCCAAATAATTTGCTTTATTCAAATATATTCATTGCTCGTGTCAAAAAAAAAAGGAGGAGGAAGATATAAAGATGGCGAGGTGATCTTTCTGACCTGAACTTTCCTTCTTTTGTAAAACGATGTCTAATCCTCTTCGGGTTCCCTGGCGACGACAGCTAAACTGTCAGAATAACATTCGCTCTTTATCTACTACGGCACACAAACATCATCCAGCTGACGTGTTTCTGGAATTGAGAGAATGTTTTAACGTCCACTTTAGTGCTATCTCTAATTTATTGTCATGTCATTTTACTTACATCGAGACGTGGTTTTACCTCAGCTTCTCTTATATGGTGACAATATTATCTTTTCAGCTTAGGGTTGAATAAAAAGAACTTCGTTTTTATTCAACAATAATGGTCCATACGATATGATGAGACAGAAGATAAATTTTGCCAACAGGTGATAAAAAAATATTTATGGACTAATCTAAATACAGGTGAAAAAACAGTTTTCTAAAACATTTCTCTTTAATTTATTTACGCATTTAGACAGAAGTATGTAAATACATAATCTTCAAAACAACTTATGACTTTGCATTTATGAATGAAACACATACATCGTATGGAATTAATTAATCAGTGAAATAAAGAGAGCAATTCTTTAATGTAAGTTTAAATAATACTAAACTGTTGCATGATAACTGTCTTCCTATATGGCGATGAATGGTGAACAATCTCCTCAAAATGAAGAAAAAACCTTGAAGCGACAGAAATGTAATTCTGCAGAATGATGCTGGGCCGACGAGGTTTTACAGAAAATGGAAATAAAAAGGAAATAGAATGATGCTGATGGTACCATGGAACGGCAAGGTTTTACAAATCGGAAACTTGTTCAACGTGTTTTAGTGGACTCAGTAATTTTCAATCTGCTTGTCTGAATCATCTTCAAAAAGCGAGAGCAAAATCTAAAAGGTCAGTCAATCTAACAGTGATCTCATCTCACAATTCTCACACATGCTCCATATGTGGCCTCCTTTGTAAATCACTAGTGGGTCTTAAATGCCACTTAGGATTATCGCATAATCTTTCATAACTGAATCAATAAGCTGGCAGATCCTCATACGTCGAAACCGAGGGAGTCATTATTATATATATATATATATATATATATATATATATATATATATATATATATATGTGTGTGTGTATATATATGAAATTTGAAAAGTCATTTGGTCGAACATTTAAAGCCTATGTACCTAAAAATTATGATGACCGTTATATTTTGAGAGTTTTTCATGTCGAAATGTGTGTAGCACCGTGTCAAATATTTGTCAGTCCTCGTTTTGCTTAGAAGGGAAAATTATTATCTATTTATTTTTAGCCTTATATTTGAGATTTTCTCTCAGAAGTTCTGGAATGAGGTTTTATCATTATTGTCCCTATTTACATTCGAACTAATATTCTCATCTTTGTGGTTTTTAATACGACATTTCAGCCATTGTGTCCACCGACTTTCATCGGGTGTATATCGATTTAAGTAATCTACAGGGTTTTCCGAACAGAACCGGCGGGGATAAACATTTCTCGTTCCACTTTCCATTTCCAGAGATATTTTGTCTATTTTTAAAGATCATTACGTAATATCTTTGGTATGTAGATATGGACAACATGAATATTATTAAAGAATAGATTAAAGCCCAAATTATGAATTACAATATAAATATGAATTCCACAATTAGTATGGTCACCACGTGCATTTAAATATCACATTGCCTATATTTAAGAATATCTCGTATAGCTCTCTAGACAAGATATCTCTTATGAGAGCATAAAGGCAGAAACTTTGTGATAACAACACATTGAGGACAATAGTTTGAATGTAGATAGTGTATATAATGTATCTAAGAAACATTGTTTAATTGCCTCGATGTGCCCCTGTTGGAAAATGTATGTTGTCTGATGATGGCGTCATATGACAACAATGTATAAATATGAAACTCGCATGCATACATTTACCTTTGAAATTGACAGACTCAAAAATTGAATTAACAAACCCATGGAGGAGAGACAATCGCATAAGATAAAATGTGTTTATATGAATAAATTGAATTTATGGTAGAACTTTTCAATGCAGACGACATTTATTGCTTGCTTAGTTGAAACATTCTTTGACCTCATTAACAACAACCCCGACCGATTTTCTCTGGTTTTCATTAAAATAGCTCCTGATAATAAAAAAAAACGAATAGACAAGTGGAGAATATTGTTGTCAGATATAAATTGTTGACCCAATTGCTTCTGTATACTTCCGATTTGTCTTTTGATCATATACAATGTATGTAACAGTGTTATTCATGCTATTGGGGAGGAGGGCGTCTAGCTCAACTTAAGTGAAATGTTCTTGAAACTGTTATTTGTCGAAATAAAAACAAATATTCCTTTAAAACAGACGTGGACAGAATTTTTCAAGCAGTGGGCGAATTATCTCTGGTACATCACAAGTTGGACCTCTCTGCTAAGAAGTTCAAGGTAATTTTTCGGGGTACATACCTCGGCTATTTTCATTATAAAAAAACCAAATGCATACGCATATAGCTTAGAAATGGAGAGTTTTTTTTATACTTTTCTTTGGAGAAATGCTATGAATCATAACTTTCACAATAATATGTGTATTACCCAACCGAGTTAGATAAAAATAAGCATTTCTTTATGAACAAAGGAAAGAATACTAGGGCTGTTACGTAATATATCAGTCCTCCTTATACTGTAGTGAATGCTGAACAATATCATCACTGATGAAGAAAAGAATTGAAGCGATAGAAATGTGGTTCTACAGTAGGGTGATGAGAATCCCTGCGAGCAAGAGAGACGTTTTTGAGAAACCTGAAAAAAAAGTACACTTATAATTAACAGCAGGAATTAAGAGTTGAAATTTCTAGGGCACATAATGAGCAACGTGATATTAGAAAATTTGATACTCACACAACATACTGAAGGAAAGAGATACAGGGGAAAACAGTGTATAGCCTACCTAGGGAGCTTGAATCAGTGGATGCCGGAACAAGGTTTAGGGGACGTAAAAATACAAAATAATAATAATAAAGACAAGAAATTGTGACTGGCCATGATCGACTACGACCTTAATTGACACGACACATAGAAGAAGAAATAATTTTGTATGACAAGGGGAGACAAGCTTTCGTCCTATTTTTATTCAATAGCAATAATTACTATAAACAATAAATAAAATGTTCACTATTCGATGTTGGTCATCAAGGTAGATGTTTTATTTAGATACGCTTAATACACACAGTTTTCAAATTCGGTTTCTTTATATTTTTATATAAATCAAAAAGCAATTTTATTAGCTAAAACCAGGAAATAAATTTATTGAAACAAAAGTGTTCAGTTGACCACTGATGACAATTCCAGAACAACGTAACAATAAACAATTTTTTTCTAATCTCTGCCAGCCGCAATGATGGAGAAAGCATTACCTCGAACCATCGCCAGTGAAATACGCTGCAAGAGCCACTCCATTTCGCGAGGCTTGTCCCTTAATCGAGATGCAATCGCGCCAATCCTCCGAAGGAACGCGATCGAACGAGGGCCAATAACCCCTGAAGTCTCCACCGCCACTGGAGTAAAAAAAAAAAAAAAAAAATCTATCAGCAAGAGAAGAATATTTAACTATTTTTTTCATTTCTACGTCCCGGTCGACGGATCCTGGCTCAACCGCGGAACTGATCAAATTACCGACCGAAAATATATCCGCACAGGTCGCATCCCAAATCAACGACTTCTCCATTTTAAAAGGGAAAATGGTAATGCCATCCGTCCGCTTCACCTGCTTCTCAAATTTGAATAAACGTGTAAATGACGTCATGTCTAATAACGCTTCATATCACATGAGTATGAATCTCTTTTAAAATATTTCATACAAAGTTAAAATATTTCATTACATTTTAAAATACCGAGAAATGGTATTTTCTTTAATGCGGTTGGTTACTTTGTCTAAAAATATCTTCGTGTCTTTTCAGGCATTCTTTACGGTGCGGTCTATGTAGAATTTTAATATTATTTCACACTATGCTTATTCATAACAGAACATGGTTCTCTACATCTTCCTTTGTTATTATCATAAACTGTCCTAAGTTCTTGGGGAAAGATACGGGAATGGCTTCCAGGTGTCCTCTCCATTAATGTGATTTTAGTGTTTCTATTCTTCTAGACGGGGTACCACACACAATTAGAATATAACAGTGTAACTTACTATGAGGAGGCACGGTTGAGTGATGGATAACAGCTCGGGTTGAGGAATCAGAGAGCCGAGTTCGAATTTCATTCGAATTCGTAACATGTTTACGTGCTAATACATTTGAGAAATGTATGAACCCTCCTTTTCTCTCCCCCCCAGCTATGGGTAAATAGCAGGGCAAACCGGGTTATATAACCTTGTATGGCAATTAGTCTACCTCAGAAAGAAATGGTAACCTACTGCGGGAAAA